TCTCTCTCTTCTCCCTGTCTCTCTCCAATATTTATTTATTTATTTATTTATTATGTGTACAGTGTTCTGTCTGCATGTATGCCTATTGGCCAGAAGAGGGCACCAGATCTCATTACAGATGGTTGTGAGCCTCAATGTGGTTGCTGGGAATTGAACTCAGGACCCCTGGAAGAGCAGTCAGTGCTCTTAACCTCTGAGCCATCTCTCCAGCCCCCTACCACTATATTCTCTTAGGTGGTTCTTTTGTTGTTGTTTTGTGTTTTTGAGACAGTGTTTCTCTGTATAATCTTGGCTGTCTTAGAACTCCCTCTGTAGACCAGGCTGGCCTCAAACTCACAGAGATCTGCCTGCCTCTGCCTCCCGAGTGCTGGTACTAAAGGCGTGTGCCATCACCTCCTGGCTTATGTTATGGTTCTTTGACTTCTCTGTCATTGCTTTTTCTGTTACACTGGCTCTTGTCCCCTCCCTCTGTGCTCAGATTAGTTCTTTCCTTGCTGGTTGGTATTGTACCCTGAGTATCTTCATGCTTGGCTGGTGGGTGAGTGAGAATACTTGGAGTATATCTGCCACCAAGGCTTAGTCATGAGGGAGGGAGTGTTGAACTCACATACACATACCCCTAGTCCAGTGAGTGCAAGCCTGTCCTGTGTGTCCTGCAGAGTGCTTATTGTTAACAATTCCTGTGCAACAAAGCAGGAGGAAGCACTTGTGTGAACCAACAGTGAGCTTGTCTACTGTGGTCAGGCTCTACTCAGTTACTTGCGTCTAGACTCAGCTGAGACACGTCACACAGTCCAGATCTTGTGGACCTTTCCCAGGGATAGAACTCAAGTTATCAGGCTTGGTGGCAGTTGCTTTTTCCCTATAAACTATCTTACTGGCCCTCTCTGTCATGTTGCTATGAGGCATCTTCTTGTCTTTGTGTGATGTTTGGAGTGGTGGTGGCTGTCTTTGACCATGAGTTCGCTGACGTTGATGGAGTAGAGAAGAGAATGCTCCTGATTCTCAACGTTGTCCTTCAGCTTTCAAAGCCTGGGCACAGTGGACAAGCACACTCCTAGCTCACCTCACAAAATGCTTCTCCTTATTCTCAGGCCTGGTACAATCCTGGCTTCAGACACATGGCTGTGTCCATTTTGGATCCAGCTTTCTCTTCCTTGCATGTGAGACAGGCACAGATTTTTGCAGTGTTGCTCTGTGCTAGGCATTGTAGATGATTCTGTGCCCAGTTGCCTACAACAAGGGGATGGACTCCATTCCCCTTTACTCTTGGGCCCTGGTGGCTCATCTATGTTCTGCCCATCAGACAGGAAGACTGGAGAGCTGGACTGGATACATTGGTCCTTGAAGTCTTATGCTAGGCACTGGGAAGACAATTTGTTGAGACTATTCCCTCTCAGGTGGGCAATGTGTCCTGAAAGCAAAGCTCGTAGGCCTGTTTGTGTGATGGCTATAATTTACCTAGCTAGGAGGAGCCTTCTAAATCCATGCTGTGGACTAAGCCCTTGTCCTACCATTAGCATCCAGTCAATGGCTAGTACTGATAATTTGTGTGGACATGGTAAGTTTGAAGTCTATGTCCAGAGCCACTGACACTCCCTTGAGCTCATTCTCCACCTACTCAGGGCATCATGGGGTCTTTTTTTTATTATTATTGGGGTGTGTGTGTGTGTGTGTGTGTGTGTGTGTATGGGGTCTTTTTTTTTATTATTATTGGTGTGTGTGTGTGTGTGTGTGTGTGTGTGTGTGTGTATACATGCAATGTACACGTGCCTGTGCATATGTATGCAGGTGTGTACATGGAGATTAGAGGACAACTTTATGGTGTCAGTTCTTGTCTTCCACCTTGTTGAAGATCCCTCTTGCTTCTGCCACCGCCCTGCATATACCTGATTATCCAGGCTAACTGGTCCATGAGCTGCATCTCCTGTTTCTGTCTCCCATCTCAAAGTAGGAGTGCTGGGATTACAGATGTGTGGCACCACACATGTGGCTTTCTAGGAGGTTTCTAGGAGTGGAACTCAGGTCATTCGGCTGCCTGCCTGGATCATTTTCCCAGCCCCCAGGAATTCTTCTCTTTCCCTGGTCAAGAAAGAGGAAAGGTCCCTTTCCTCTTTCTTACTGACTCTGAGGATACCACTTAGCATCAGGAAGTGCCCTGAAGATATGGCGGTTATACATCTCCTGCTTCATACCCTTCCCTTCTGCTGGCCTCTTAGGCTACTGTTTTTCTTCAGCCTGGTGAGAACTCATTGTGAGAGATTCACTTGTACAATGTCCCTCATCCTAGAAGGACTTGAGTTTTGGCCCTGTGTAAGCTGCTGACCCTCCTCCTGTTAGAGGCTGAGGGCTCCTTCTTGGCTTCATGATATGGAGCCTCGGAGCTCTGTTTTTCCATCTCATGACTTTATTATTCCCACAAGTTGCATGTTCGTGCCTCCCCAGCAGTGAGGCCAAGGCAGCAATGGATCTCTTTCTTCTCCTCAGCCTTTGTTGGATATTTGTCCTGTTTACATTTTAGGGGAGCGTTGAGATGTGGGATGGGGTGTGCGTGCGTGCGTGCGTGGGTGGGTGCGTGGGTACGTGTGTGTGTGTGTGTGTGTGTGTGTGTGTGTGTGTGTGTGTGTGTGTGTGTGTTTATAACTGGAGTATTCTGGCCTGCGCCTGGGGCTGCTTCAAAGGGAACCCTAGACAGAGCGTCTGCAGCCAGGAGCTTGGAGACAGCTTTGATGTGGACACATGGGAAGCAGCCTGTGGACACAGAACAGGGACCCTGAAGTGTGGCGGAGTGCCTGTAGGTCAAGGCCGTAGCCCGGCTGTGCCTTCCAGCCATGTACATTTCATCTCCTCTGTCCCCCCATGAGTGTGGCTGTCTAGACAGGGATAGAATTAAAAGCTCAATTACTGAGCAGGAATTTGGCCAGCAAAGGCACAGCTACTGAGCAGACAGGCCTGGGTGAGGATGTGGCTGAGAACAGCCCCGTTTGGATGTGAATAAGGCTAAGGAGCCTGAGGCTCACAGCCAACCAGCCAGCACCTGCAGGGAGCAAGGGCCAAAAGGGCCCCTTAAGGCAGCTTGACCTCATGGAGCCGTAAATCTCCTCAAGGAGACTGGCCTGGCCGCCATCTCGGCACCACCTCACTCCCCCTTGTAGGGATTTCTGCCTATAATTGGAGCCCAGCAATTAGAATTACTGCCTTATGGGAATGGAAGCCGGTTCTCCAGCTTAGCCAGACTTTTCATGGCTGAGAGAAGCGCCTCCATCCTGAGCCTCAGTTTCCATATCTGTAAAATGGTGTGGTAGGGTGTTATGTCCCAAGTCATCAGCGTACCCTGTAAGAACTTGGTCATCTGGTAGGGAAAGGTTTGATCATTTGAACTATGATACCCCTCTCCTTACCCTGCCATTATGTATCTGCCTGTTTACTATTCTGTTTACAGTCACCTTCATGATTTAGAACATACATTTAAAGAGACATGATCATTGGGACTGCCCACAGTCCCACACTGTGGGCAGGTGTGACAGGGTGGTCACATGGGCATTCCTATGGAGCCTCATCATTGGTGTTCCCCTTGTCCTCGGTGATAGTGGATGAGTCCATTCATCTTGAGCCTGGCATGTCCTCTGAGTGCTCTATAATGTAGAGACCTTGATCTCCTTCTATTGTAGAAGTCTCTACCATCTGTCCACACAGCTTCCCCCAAAACATTTGGAGACCTTGATCTCCTTCCATTGTAGAAGTCTCTACCATCTGTCCACACAGCTTCCCCCAAAACATTTGTCTCTTTCCTAGCATCCTCTGGGCGTAAGCTCAGACTTTGGAACAGAAGTGCTAAACAGAATTGTCATTAGGTCCCTGCTGTCTAAGGGTCCTGCATCTGGCAGAGGCAGTGGCTGGGGCATGGCACCAGCCAAATGCTGACTGATTCTCACAGTGGATCTTACCCCATACCTGGTGTAGTCCCCACTGTGTAGCTGGGCCCACTGTCCCAAGTTAAGCTTGACTCTATCTGTGTAGCTCTGCCTCCTCGAAGTCCAGACTCCCGGCCACCCTTCTTGCCTGCCCTTCCCAGTTATCCCTGAAGCCGGCAAGACAGAACTTTCAGCCAGACCTGGGCCCCAAAGGAATGGTGCTGTCCTGGTGGGCCTCCTTCAGTGTGGCCGAGCACACATCAGCAGCCAGACTCTGCCTCACCCTGCCGTGATTGCTGAGGTCATTCTTGGCAGAGCTTGCTGGCAGGGACTGTTGGCGCCCACCCAGGGTAAACACGTCGCGCTGATCTTGCTACGTGCCATTGGATGCTGAGTGGGTCTGTTTAGGGAATGCCATAGGCTCTGACCTCAGGTGACCTTAAAGTGAAAGGGTCAAAGACAGGGTGGAACTGTGTCTGGAAAGGTGACATACACTAGCTTGTCTCAGCACAGTTGCTGGAACCCTTCATTCAATTTTCAGGGACTTGAATACTGGTAAATAGCTGATGCTCAGCTGATACAGCGGCCAAGCGGGCTGTTTCCAGAGAGCTGGTCAGGCTCCTATCATTGGGTTCTCACAAGATACCAGTGAGACTGGTGGACTGTCTTATTCCCACTTCTCAGATGAGGAGTTCATGCTTGTAAGCTCAGGCAGAATTTCAGTTTGGCAGCCTGACCTCAGCCTGTGCCGCAGATGACTGGTGCTCAGAATCCCTATCTAGGACTTTGATCTCTAAGCCCATCTTAAGCTTAGGTTGTCTCCCTTTGTCCTCTGTCCAGCTGCATGGATAGCTTCAAGATGTGAGACCCAGAAATGATCTATCACTTCTTCTCATTTCCCTTGCTGTGAGTGTCTTGTTTTGTTGACTCCCCAATTGCCTGTGGAGTGTGGATTACAGTAGGGGCTTGGTACCTAGTTTAGCACCAAGCTCAGCCCCTAGGGGCCAGGACTGTATTTGCCCTCTGTATTTGCATTATCCAGTTTGCTAAGCAGCAATGCAGCAATGACTGTCTTTGTGCTTGCAGGGAAAGCTGCCAGTCCTGCTGCTTGGTCGTTCCTCAGAGCTGCGGCCGGGAGAGTTTGTGGTAGCCATCGGAAGCCCTTTTTCTCTTCAAAATACGGTCACCACCGGGATTGTCAGCACTACTCAACGAGGTGGCAAAGAGCTGGGGCTCCGAAACTCTGATATGGACTATATTCAGACAGATGCCATCATCAATGTGAGTCCTTCACTCCCTCTACCTGCTGGGGTGGCGGCAAGTTTTTACCAGAGGAAGCTAGCTAGTATTCCCAAACTTTCTTGTATTCTGCATGAATTCTTGGAACTAGAATAAACCACATGGAGTATAGTCCTACCCGGTTGTGTATGGGTGGTGGTGGTGATGGTGGTGTCCCACTTGGGGTTAAAACAGAGTTGAACTATGTGGTCCTGAAGCAAGTGGGTAGCCAGTCTCATTGAGGAAGTCAAAGCAGATTAGGTGCTCACAGTGGGCCTGGAGGTAAATGATCCCACTATGGCATATCCCAGGCTTTTTGAAAACGGTAAAGATCCTTCTTTAAGCCGAAATTAGGTGAGCAGAGACAAATCTTGGGAAGAGCGCTGCCAGCTGCTTCAGCACAGTGCTTTGAAATGTTTTGGGCAGGGACATTGGTTAGATGGTGACGTGAAACAGATCTGACCTTTTCCTCTTGGTTTTGTTTCAGTATGGAAACTCTGGAGGCCCCTTAGTAAACTTGGTAAGGCCTTTCAGTACCTATGCTGTGTTTGTTTCATCTGTGGGCATGCTACTTCCTTTGCTTTCTCTTTGGACATGAGCTTGTCAGAGCACATGACATAATTAACTTTCTACTGTGTGAGTGTACTGCATCTTCGCACCTCACCCCAGCAGCCCTTTCAGGAAGCAGTAAGGCCAGAGGACACACTTGTGTTTCAGGCCACAGGTGGATGCCATGAAGTTCTAGGCAGAAAGGGGACTGAAGGTCCCTGCAGTGCTGCCATCTGTGGAAAAGGTGCCTTCAGCCTCGAGGACGGCTGAGTGGGGATGAGCTGGCCTGGCTTGCCTCCATGCCAGAACCCTCCCTGAATGCCTGTGGGCATGACGGGGAGACATCTGTTTGCTCACAGAGCTCTCACTTAACCTAGTCTTTAATACCTCAGCATAAAATTGAAGGCGACAGAATGCCAGAGCTTGGGAGTTGTTTAAGAGAGTATAAAATCAAGGCCACCCAACGATACCTCCTGCTGGGTCCCTTGGTGTCAGGAACTGATATGTGCAAAGGACACTAGGAGCACTGTGTGCTGAACGTTCCTAGGGTCTTTTTTTTTTTTTTTTTTTTTTTTTTTTTTTTTCCACCAGAAACTTCTCAGGGAAGAGCCATATCCTTACTTGTCCCCACCATACTTACCCTGGGGCAGCTGTTGGGAGTAGATCCTGGGGTCCAGGCTCAACTCGGTATCTACCATTGGAAAAGGAGAGCAACTCAGAGATTATGGAAGCATTCTTCCTGTGAAAAGAGCAAGTGTTGTGGATTTTGAGATCATCTGTTCATGCAACGACACAAAGATTAAGCTCCTACTTAGATCTTGTGTCTATCCTTCCAAAGCCAACTGTGTCTGGTACTACACAGTACCCTACTGTCTCTCCCCTCACTATCCCCAGGCCTCCTCCTTCTAACCCTCCTGATTTTCACACATAGCCAAAATACTCTCCCTGCTATGTGTCTATATATATGAGCATTTGCATGTATGGCCACAAGTGTGGGTGGATGGGGACGTGTTGCCTGTGCACATGTGTGTTTGTGCCTGAAGCCCAGGGTTGATGAAGGATCTTTCTCATTCACTTTTCCTTTTACTCAGTGAGGTGGGGTCTCTCAGTTGAACCCACAGCTAGGTACTACAGCCAGTCACACTAGTCAGCTTTCCCTTGGGATTCCGCCTCTGCCTCTGAGGCTGGAATTACTGGCAAGCCACCACACACACCCAGCATATACATGGGTTCTGGGGAATCCCAACTCCCAGTCCTCTCATTTGCATGGTAAGCACTTTAACCACCTTGTCATCTTCTCAGCCCACGCTTCTTTTTTTTTTTTCCTTTTTATTAATTGTTTTAATTGTACGCATCTGTGGGGTAGAGTATGCGATGACCAGTGAAGATAGCATCCTCCTCTCACTCTTGGTTTTGGAAACTAGGTCCCAAACCAGAGCCCAGGCGGGCCAGGATCTCACAGAGATCCTATCTCAGCTGCTCTTGAGTGCTGGGATTACGGGTGTGAGGCGCCATAGCTGGCAACGCCTTTGAAAGACTTTCTGTCATGGATTCTCTGCTCCCTTCCAGCCTGTGCCTGCCTCCTGGGTTGTTTAGTGAGCCATGCTTGCTTTTCAGGATGGCGAGGTGATTGGAATTAACACACTGAAGGTGACAGCAGGCATCTCCTTTGCAATTCCATCGGACAAGATAAAGAAATTCCTGACAGAGTCCCATGACCGACAGGCCAAAGGTAACCAGGTCCAGGTATCCTGGGGACCTTTGCAGGTTCAGTCCTGAGGCTTAGCTGGCCCCTGGGGACTTGGGAAAGGGGAAGATGACAGTCCCTAAGGCCAGTCCTCTCAAGGGTCCAGAGCCAATACATTTTACCAGGGTGGTAGTGGTGGGAGACTGAACAAAGGGGGTCTCAGTCCAGATACCCATAGGGGTTAGGAAGAAAGAGTCATGCCTGAGTTTTTGATAGTTTCTGAAGTGAGAGATGGGAACCCAGGCCAGGACTGAATCACAGTCTTTGGGTGCCCCCCTCTGGCTCATGCTACAAACTGGAACATTGGAACTCTGGCTCCCGTGTCCCAATACTCCCACCATCTGGGCTGACCTTTTGTCCCTTTGTTGTCACACCAGGGAAAGCTGTCACCAAGAAGAAGTATATTGGTATCCGAATGATGTCGCTCACATCTAGGTGGGTAAACAGGACACATAATTATATAAATATGAATGTCTACTCTGTATTTATATAAACCTGGCCATTGCAAGGCTTCAAGGGCATTCTTGAAGGGAAACTATTTCCTTCAGATACTTCAGTTTCTGCTTAAAAGTAAGTCTCACTGGGGAAGGGGAGGGACTGTTGGGCTTGGGCCTCTTGTTTTTGCATTCTGACCACCTGGAAAACTCTGCCCTCCTCCCCGAAGGCAGGCCTGAACAGCAGATGGCTGGCGCACTCCTGCACACTCTCGTGCCTGCCTCTCACCACTTGTTCTGTTGAAAATCACATTCCAGGAGTGCCCCAGCGCCCGCCCCAGCCTGGAGCACCCGCCTCCCCTGCACGCTGCAGCGTGGGGTGTGGCTGCAGGAATGCCCGGGCAGGCCCTGCCTCGGGTTACTGATGACGGATGGACTTGTTTTCCTGAGTGTGAAAGTTGCTGCCTGGGGTTGCCAAGCTCATGGCATGCTAGAGGAGGTTGGGGGAATCTGCATGAAATAAAGGAAACCAAATTGACCAGCATGTCTGAGTCACTGTAGAGCCAATGTATATTGATAGTACTGTTTTACCCAGTTGTCAAAATATTAGGACACTCCATATAGGTTATGAACAATGGTAGTTTTCCTAGTGTTGCCAAGGATAGGGCAGCTTGCTGAGACTGAAAATCATCACACTGGTTGTCTTGGGTAACAGAAGAGATGGAAGCGTGGGTGAAGGAAGCTAGGGTCATCTTTCTGGGTTGTTTCCCCAAGCTCCTGTGCTTCTCAGCTTACTCTCTTTCAGGATGAGGTTAACAGTGTGGGTGTGCCTACTGTATCGTCAGGTATAGCTCAGCATTGGTAATGACAAGCAGCTGTAGCAACAGCTGTTTTGTGCTGATGGTTAAACTAGTTTCCTGCTATTAAATAGCAACTGTTGATGCTAGTAGGCAGGCCATTTTAAAGGAGAATTGGGGGCTGGGGATATGGCTCAGTGGGTAAAGTGCTTGCTATGGTAGTATGAGGACCTACGATCAAATCCCCAGGACCTGTGTAAAGCTGGGTAGGGAAGTATGTGTCTCTAGTTCTGGTGCTATTTATACCAATATTGGAGGTAAACAGGAGACTGTCCATCACAGGCCAGCTAGCCCGGTGTATGCAGCAGCAAAGAAGAGACACCGTCCCAAACAAAGTGTAAGGCAATGACTGAGGTTGTCCTTGGACCTCCGCATGTGTGCTGTGCTGTGCCAAAGCCTGTGTATGTATGTGTCATGATCAAGTAAAGTCTTGAAGTTGAGAATAAGAAGGGAATTTGGTGAGAGCCGAGTGTTGGCACAGGAAAGCTGTGGGTGCTTGATATTAACATGGCGGCTTTGTCTCCTAAGCAGCAAGGCCAAAGAGTTGAAGGACCGCCACCGAGACTTCCCAGACGTACTCTCTGGAGCGTATATCATTGAAGTAATTCCCGACACTCCGGCAGAAGCGTGAGTGAGAAGTCTTTCCCCTTTCCTACAATCCTATGGCTTGTGGATTAGGAAGCAGTGTTCATGTGTTGGCTCAGATGACCATGCCAGCCCTCCGTTTCCTAACAGCCAGGGCTTCTGACTGTGTTGGACTCAGGGCTTGTCTATAGAAGGGGCTTTCTTGCCTTGGGTCATCGCTGGGGTCATCCATATAGGAAGGGCACTCAACTGGTGGGCTTGCTGGGAGTTGCTGGGAAGCCTGGCTATAGGAAATATTTCATGGAGCAGGATTCATCCTCCCCAGAGCTTTCTCTAGTTACGTTTGTGACTAGTGAAGTCATACCCATCAGCACCTATAGAAAAACAATCCAAATGACATCAAAATAGTGAAAGAAGCAGTTCAGCCAAAGGTTAGGCTTGTTACCTGAACTCCTACAACATCTAGAAATCAATGTGGACTGCAGCTGCAGAGATGAGGCCCTGAGGCCAGTCCTGGCCTGATGCCTCTTTGTCTGTCGACAACGATGTGTGAGCTGAGAGAAAATAGTTTTTACATTTTTTTCATGTTGGAAAAAAATCCAAATGACACTGTTTTGTGATACTGTAAATTCTCTGAAATGCAAATGTGCACACATGTTTTATTGGACCACAGCCGTGTCCCCAGACAAGATGACATCTTGTCTGGAGCAATTTTTATGCTGCTGCAGCAGAATTCGATAGCTAAGACACAGAGACCAAATACTCTGTGAAGCCTGAGCTGTTTCCCATCTGGCCCTTTGTGAAACAAGTCTGTAGACTTAGGTTAGGACAAGGAGGACTGGGGTAGCACAGTGACCCTATCACTAATGAGCTGAAGATCCAGCCACAACACAAAGGAGCCTCTCTGAGTAGAGGCATCCAGCATTCCTGGAGGGGTCACTTCTGAATTACAATGCTATTTATGAGCAAATTGGCTGTGGTCATAGTACCTGGTGTTTCCATGTCCCCTCTAAGGAAACTGATCATAGTTCATACAAATGTCATAGACACTTATTCAATGAACATTATTGATTTGGCCTAAAAAAAAAAAAGTCTGGACAGGAAATACCATCGACTCCAGGTGAAGTCATTTCTGCTTGAGTCCAGCACCATTTCCCCTGTGTTCTGGGCTTTTGGATTCTAACTGTGCCTTTCTTGATGACTGGGAAGAATGGAAATGTTACCAGTATGTTTCTCTTTGTGTTTCAGCGGAGGGCTCAAAGAAAATGATGTCATCATCAGCATCAATGGACAGTCAGTGGTCACTGCTAATGATGTCAGTGATGTCATTAAAAAGGAAAACACCCTGAACATGGTTGTCCGCAGGGGCAATGAAGACATTATGCTTACAGTTATTCCTGAAGAAATCGACCCATAGGCAGAGGCAGGAACCTGACTTCATGTTTTCCTCAAAATTCTCCAGTAGATGACACATGAGAACTCTGAGCTGGTGACACAGGACATCCAGGACTTTTGTCTGACATTTTGCTTGTTCAGGGAACACCCCTGCCGACAGAATCCTTTTTGATAGTCTGCGGGTAAAACAAATGCAATGTTGCAGGTGCATGGGCGGAGGCCCCACCCTCTGTATGCTATGTATGCAGCGCGCTTTTTCTTACAAGCTTGGGCTCTTCCTGCTTAAACAGTCAACATTTGTCTCTTCCCTTAGCCCAAGTTGTCCAACTAATGCAGTTGATTGGATGCATAGATAAGAGGAAGGTCCTCACAGTCATGGTCTTGGACGTGTTTACACTTTCCTCCAACTCGGCGCCCAGAGGAAGTTGATGCCCTGAGACCATAGGTGGGTGACCCTGGCTTCTGAGATGGCCAAAGATGCCTCTTAGGAATCCTGGAACCAGGAGCACAATGACTTTGAGTTTCAGCTATTAAAGTACTTCTTCATACTTGGATGTTGGTCTGTGTGTTTCTTTTACCATCAGGCTGCAGTCCTTTTGAAATGGGCCTTGATGTCAGTGGGCTCCTCATTCAGCCACACTGGGCATGCAAGGCTGAGCTTTCAGCCCTGTGAGTTATATCAAAATCTCCTCTTGGGGTTTGCTGATGTTTTACAACCCTGTTTGGCCACCTTGGCTCACTGAATGGACAGTTTTACTTTTATCTGGAGCTTGCCAAACTAAGGAGAGTCTGTTGGTCTCATACATCATGCAATCAGTCAACAATGATTTCCCTGGGCCTCTGCTCTGTGCCAAAAGGCCTTGCATCTGTCCTGTTGTGGGTCAAGTGTGGAAGACAGCCAGAGCAAGACAGGACAGATGCAAGCCGTCTTCTCTCTAGTCAATCAGGTCTCCTGAAAGACAGCCAGTTTAGACACTCTTGTGTCCTGGTCTAAGTCTGTAGAATGCACAAGCTACTGCAAACTCACTTAACCTGGGTCCAAAATCAGAGCAAGACTTCCATCCTCTGGAATTTAGAACAGGGCTCCCTCAGGCTGCCTTCCCACAGGTATAGCCTCCACAGCTGCAGGGTTCCTTTCTTTCTGAGAAAGCTTTACAAGAATCTGGACAGTGGGACTCACAAAAAATGGTTGCATGGCTTTGCTTTGGATTGTACACATACCCAGGTACCCATGAGGAGAATACATTGTGTGTGTGGGAGGTGTTGCCAAAAGTCAAGTAATCAGCAGCATCAACAAAATGGTACTGGCACTGGAGAGAGGGTTCTTTGTCCAGACTGAGTTTTCTCTCTCCAGCAAGGTCCAGTTTTGTACTTGGAGAGGCTGTGGAAAGTCAGAAAGGAGGGTCTTTGATGTCCTTGCATTCTGGTCCAGCCTTCTGCTGTCTACTTCGATGATGTAGGCATGCCAGGGCAGAGCCAAACAATGCTTAGGATCTTAGCATGTGCTGCATATTCTGTTTCTTAAGGGGGAGGAGAACGTTCAGGTTCACCCTTAAATGCGTTGGGACGGTATTCCCTGGAAGGCCTAGGGACTAAGGGATGGCAACAGGGTAGTGGAAGTGCTGATGGCTGGCGGTGGATGGAAGTCAATTGTTACCTTAACCTAAGAAAGTAAGGTTCATGCCACTCACACCGAAAAACTGAAGATGGTGAAAGGAAATGGATTTGTCTGGGGACTCAACAGAGTACATCTAGAATAACGGGTGGGAAATACCCAAGCCAAGGCCAAGGATGTCTGTGCCAAGCACAGTGCAGGCAATGCACACATCCTCGTTAGCTCCCCCCCCCAAATATCTAGAAATAGGAGCTGCTGCTTCCTTGTTTTAGAGGTATAGAAATGACAATCAGCAAAAAGTAGCTTGCCCAAGGCCACCCTGCTTGTCACTAGTAGATAGTGTATGTGGTTTTGTGGGCATGTATAGAAGCAAGGAGCAGACTAGGTGCGATGGTAGTTCAGGTCTCTTTGGCACGGGCTTTTGGGAACATAAATGAACACTGTTGGGCCTTTAGGCCCTCAGAAACAGGTCTTAGCATCTCCCCAGCACCCAGAGGTTTTTATCTGATGCAGCCTCTGCTACCTTCCCAGCTCACCTTTGTTCCTTCAAGGATAAGTCCTTGTTGTTGTTTCCATGTCTGTATCTTCTAACAGGCTCTTATTTCTCTAACATTCTGACCCAAAGCATACTGTTCTATGCCCTTTGCACAGCAGACCCTCCTGTCTTACCACCATCTCTGCCTCCAGAAGTAGACCAGTGCTCAGGTGGCCCCTTGCCTGGAGCCCACAGCACTGCCCTTGTGCATCACGTGGATGAGGTCTCCCAGGCTGTCTGCTTAAGAGGAGCAGATGAAAAGTGCTGTTGGGTATGGAGTGGACTCTACTCTCTGTCCAGTCTTTTCCTGGTTAATTTTCTCAGTTTGGCTATTGTAGTCCTGGGTGGAGTTCCCTTCAGTGTTCTTATTCAAATTAAGGAACTTTCAAGAAATTGAGAAGAAAACTTTGACCATCCTTGGGGAGAGAAACAAAGTGAAAAGCTTTCAGAGATGCAGGAAGCTATGGGTCAGGGGAGGTCATAGGGACCAGAGTTCTGTTTTGAAGTTTACTTTGGGACATCCTTTCTGAGCCCAAGTAGGACTAGGTCCATCAGCCTTTCCCAAAACAGAGCCACAGGCCTTGTGCAGGCCAACAGAATCCATATCTGTGGACAAGCTTGTCTGTAAAACTGAGCTCTTGCTCCAAAAGGAGTAAATGATAGTTTCTTCTGAGGCAAATATGGGTGACCGTAGCTTGGGAGGTTTATCTGAGTTCTGAATGGTCACAAAAAGAGGTCAGAAATCAATGTTGCAAAGACATTTTGTGTGTGTGTGTGTGTGTGTGTGTGTGTGTGTGTGTGTGTGTGTGTGGTTGGGGTTGGATGGATGGATAGACTACAGTGGATCTCTGCTGTTGACCTCAGATACTATTGATGACATTCTTAGATTTTGGGTTGATGGAAGTTAGTGGTATACTAATTGATTAGTTAATTAACATATTTTTAAAGATTGTTCCTGGTAGCCAAAAGAATTTTAGGTCAGATATAGGAGCTGGTGATTAATAGTTATTAATAGACTGAAGCAGCCAGTCACATCCACAGTCAAGAGTAGAGAGGGAGCCAGGTGTGGTGGCGCATGGCATTAATCCCAGCACTCAGGAGGCATTGGCAGGCAGATCTCTGAGTTTGAGACCAGCCTGGTCTACAGAGCAAGTTCCCAGGACAGCGAGGGCTGTTACATAGAAAAACCCTGTGTTGAAACACACACACACACACACACACACACACACACACACACACACACACACACACACACACACACACACACACACACACACACACACACGAGTAGAGAGGGCTGCATAAATGCTACTGCTCAGTTCACTTTCTCCACTCTCATGCAATCCAGAACCCAAACCCAGGGAATGATGCCACCCATGATGGGCTGGGATGTCTCATGCCAATCAATACAGTCAAGGTCACCCCACACAGACATGCCTACAGGCTAGCCCAATCTTGACAATTCCTCGTTCAGACATTTTTTTCCCAGGTGCTTTTTCTAGACTGTGTCAAGTTGATAATTTAAACTAACTGATAACAGTCCTGCTGTCTGAATAGGCAGGGAATGTTGCAGTAAATGTTGCAGGTGGCACAGACCCATGAGTGTCCTCTTCATAACCAGATCCACCATCACTAATCTGTGGTCCCTACCGAGTGCGTGTAGAGTGAACGGTGACATATACCAAGTATACATTTATCTTGAGGGGAAACAGAAGCAAAAAGAGCTGGAAAGAGGCAGGGCCAGATTCCATCCCATACCCACCTCAGTCTCCTCACTGTAATTATCACCTCGTTCCATGAAACCAGGGAAGGAATGGCCATTTGAAGCTTGGACACTGCTAATATGTGAATGCCCACAAGACTTGAGAGTTCCCATACCATAGTGCTTCCCTCACATCATTGGTGTTTGCACAACAGCTTTTGTACATATCTGGAGATCCTGTACAGGTCGCCTTGTGGCATATATGGATCTGGCCTCTCTTTGGAGCCTCATTTAGCCACACAGATAGCTCCCAGGTAGGCACACCATGCCCCCCAACCTCCAGCCTAGCAAAAGCATGAAAGGAGCTCAAATGCCAAGCAAGTCACCAGTGTCTGTCTGCTGCAAGTGCACATCGGAGGGGCTGGCCTTTCCAGGGCACCCAGCCTGGCCTTGGGAGAGTGAAGCTGGGAGGTCTGCCCACTGCGTCCAGTGTCTGGGGCCCAGCTGGGCTGGACTCATGGGCCCTCTGGTGCTTCCATCAAGATGTAGGTGGAACAGAGCCAGGGGAGCGGCCTTCCTGTTTTATTTAGAACTTTGCAAAGCAGTTGCCTCAGTGCGGGGGCCCTGCCAAAACCCAGCAAAGATCAAATGTAGTAAACATGAACACATGCATTTTTCTTTCAGTTTATATTAAAAAAGGGTTCAACCTTTGTCTGGTGACAGCTTTCTATTTGCTAGGTCAAGTAAGCTAGGCATACTTGGTAAGGAATTTGCCAGTCTCCTGGTCTCATCTTCCTCGTCCACCGTCATTGCCTTCACCACTAGTCATGCAGTGTGCTGAAGGTAGTTACAGCCTCCTCATGTCAAGAGACAGGTAATGTTAGGATCCCCATTTGACAAATGAGGACATTGAGGCTCAGAGCTGTTTAGTGACCAGCCTGAAATCGCTCAAGAAGAGGAAAGGTAGCTGACACGTTAGAAGCCAGGATATTGGGTTCCAGAACCTTCTCTCTTAACCATATGATCCCCTTGGTCAGATTCTCAATGGCATTTGTCACTGAAGACTTACTTTCTACAATAGCATTAAAGAAAAGCTGGCCTGATCCAGGTTTAGGGATAGGTGTGTAACTGAGTTTTCAGACGGATAGATTCTCACCATATTCCATAGGCACTGCTTCCTGTGCAAGCATCATGGGCATTGTGGGGAGGAAGAGGGAGCAGGCGGGCACACAGAGGGAGCAGGCGGGCACACAGTGGGAGTAGGCAGGTGCACTTTTTCTCATGCAACTGCTTTTAATCCATGAACGTGTGATAGTCTGTCTATCTTGCAATATCTATCATATTCTCTCCAACAACAGGTTCCATGAATGTGTGATAGTCTGTCTATCTTGCAATATCTATCATATTCACTCCAACAACTCATTGGATCAGGATGTGAAGTCTGAAGGAGACGCAAGTCTGAAGGAACCCCAGGTTGAAGCTCAGGCTCCATTAGCTTAGACCCCTGGTGCGGAGCTCAGGGACGTGTTCTGGGTCCCAGACAGACTGTGTGCACACCTCCATCTTCCTCCACTGCTCCACGATCCAGACTCCCCACTCTCCAACCATTTTGTCCTGTTAATTATTGCTCTTCCCTCAGTATAAAAACTGGAATTGAGAAAGATGATGTTGCAGCTAGTTTTTAACTGTCTAGAGTCATTTG